GTGATGGGGTCTGGGAAGACTTGCTCCCAAGCGTCTCCTCTAGTGCCATGTCCTGAGTAGGGAAACTCTTCCTTCTAGGTTGGGATGTCCCCAACCCTGCGTCCCCTCCACCAAGCTCTTCTGCTTTGGGGCCCAAAGGGCTCATTCTCTTTACAGCTGGTGGGAAATTCTTATCTTGGCACCTCCTTATCACATGCTTAGGGACCCATGGCTCCTGCTGCTGCTCCATGCTGATTCCTCTGTCCTCCAAATGGACATGCAGCACCTGGGAAGCTCCCATGTCCCCACTGGAGACACCCTGGGCATGAGCCAGTGAGGCCTTGTAAGTCAAGCTCTCTGAGGCAAGGGGCCTGTCAGTGCATTGGCCTTGGGCCTGGCTCTGCTCCCTCTTCTCCAGTTTAGACATTGACTCACCAAACAGCTGTTTTTTATGGTCTGATGATTTAGGATCTTGGGGAACTGATCTTCTTGGTGGGGGCCTTTCATTGGTCACAGTAGTTTCTACTTTACTCTCATTCACATTTACCATTTGGGAGCTTCTTGCCTTGCTGGTTGTCAAGATGTCACCAGTTTTTGATTGAAGAGTACCGAGCTCCTTGGCCCTGAATATCTCCCTGGACACATTGTGCATGGAAAAGGGTTCTGACTTCTTCTCCATCTTTTTGCCCTGTTGTGTTTGTACTCTGTCCCTCGAACTCACACTCTTATCCTTTGGCTCATATCTGGCCCCAGCTTGCCTTGCGGGCAGCTTTGCGGGGTATCTGTTGCCTAGTGGAGTCTGTCTCTGACTTGCTTTGCCTGTGATGCCATGTGTGACAGGCAGAAGAGTGTCTGGCACCCTTACTTCTCTGAACATCCTCTGCCAGCTCATGGTTGATACCAGAGGGTGATTGTCTCAGGGTCCCCTGTCCTCCCTTGCCCACGGATGAGGTGGCAGGGCGAGGACAATCCAGGACAGGGGCTGAATGTGTTGTTCCCTCTTTGTCCCCATAAAGAGATTTAGAGCTTCCTCCAAAGGACTTGAAGCCCCCAGATTTGGAGTCCAGCTCAGAAATCAGGTCGGTTGAGAAGGGAAAGTGGGAATGGGACAAAGACTGGGATGCGGCATCTTTCAATTTAAAGATCTCTATGGATTCAAGGACCCTGCGAGGAAGGCCCCACATCATCTTCAAATGAAACCTTTTAATATGGGCTTCCAGCATCTGTCGTGCACTGGAATCAATGAAGGAAAGCTCCTGGAAGGTATCCAGGGAGTAGTCCCCACCCACTGATGGTGACAAACCTCTCTGTTTTATTTGGGTGTGGGATTTGTCAGAAAGCAGCAATGTCTGCTTGATAGCATGCCATGAACTATGCACAGTCCCAGGGAGCTGACCCTCATTGATTTCCTCAAACTTCTTGCTCAAATGTACTTTCAGGACATTTTCAAGTTGTTTCTGATCTAGACTGCCCCCTGAGGCCCTTGAATTTTTTTCCAACAGACTCACCATGTTGCTATGTAGGTCTTTCTCAGAGTCATACCCCAGATCCTTATCTGAAGAGCTCTCTGGCTCATTCAACAGATGATCTTTTGGGCCATTCTCTGGGCTATGTCCCTGATCCTTCCCCACATCTTTCTCTAGCTGAGGCATTTCTGAGCCCCTCTCATGGACACTTCCAGGTTGGCCCAATCCAACATTTAGATTTTTGTTCACAGAGATCCCTGAGAGTCCATGATTGCTCTCCAACTCACATATCTCTGAGAAATCTCTTGGAGGCATCATCAGTGACAGAGACTCATGGATCCTGCGGGGCAGGCCCCATCGGTGTTGGATGAGCCTCTTTCGAAGGTGATGCTCTAGTTTCTTCTGAAACTCGTCACTGAGAGGAAACTCTCCAGGAAGGATGGAGATTGAAACATGGGCCTGGGAGGCCTGGCAGTAAGAAGAGTTGGGAGCTGAAGGACAAAAGTCTTCCTGAGATCTTTGGACCACAGAGGGTAAACCCCACAAACTTTCCTGTTGCTTCTGCAACACGTTCCATTCCAGCTGTTGAATTTCAGATGAGGTAAGAGACTCTGATTCATTCTGGGGTCTATGGAAACACACTCCACAGATCCTAATCTGGGGTCAAGGACCAGAGGGTAGGATTGGGAGTGGAGACTGAAGGTGGGTTTGGGGCTAGACCTGAGTGAGACGTAGGGGCTGGGATTGGGGCAAGGTTTGAGGCAAGGATTGAGGCTGGATCTCAGGCAAGGACAATGGTAGACGATGAGGAAGTACTGGGGATTCTTGGTCTGTGGAGGCATTCGAGATTCTATTGAAAATGAAGATTGAGGAACAGTCACCTGAGACATGGACAGCAGAGGGCAAGGACTCGCTGTGCAGAGATGGGAGACCCCAGAAGAGCTGGATATGTTTTTGCTGTAAATGATCCTCTGAGGTCTTAGGATATAGGGGCTGCTGGTGCACATGCAGCTCTTTTGGTTTGCCTTTGCTGCTCCAACAAGGATGGGAGACTGCCAAGTCATGCTTATCAGCAATTCCCTCTGACATTTTCCCTGAAGAATTGAGTTGGTAGTCTGCCCTAAGTTGTTTTGGAAAAGAACCCTTTTCCTTTTCCCTTTCCTTTTCCTTCAACATCAGAAAATCACTCCTCTGTTGGATTTGTCTCTCCAGAAGTGCCAGGACATCAGGGCTGAGAAACAAGAGGTTACCAGGCTCTACAAGGTTGGCTGCAGGGTCTCCACCAAAAGAGGCCTCTGAAGAATGGAGGGCAAGAAACTCTTGATTGAAAACAGATGGTGCCAAAGTGGAAGGGAACAAGCCTTTGGCATGAGTTTGCCACCAGAATTCTGAAACTGACAGCCTTGAACGGTCACTGCCTCTGATTGTTGGCACATAAGTGGGAAACCCATCAGGGCTATCTGGAGAGGAGTTCTCCAGAACAGGCTTCAATAAGATGGAAACTGATTTAGATTGAGTCACAGTTAAAGGGCAGTCTGGTGGTGGTGAAACAGACTGGGTAGGTGGTACATGATGACAAGCCAATGAATCGGTGGGATTCATTGTCTGGGACAAATTTGGTAAGAGGTTGATGTCTTGGGAAAGTGTGGGATTAACAGAGAAGATGGTATGCAGACATAAAGTGCCATTTAGTTGGATAGCAGGAACTACTGTCTGAGTGTCATGTGGTGGGAGAGGGGGAAAGGCAAGGGGTTGGGGTGGGGAAGGGTCCCCTGGGAATTTAGAATCCAAGGGAGGAAAAGGTTCTGGTGGCAGAGAGTGACCCGGTGAAAGAAAGTCAGCTAAGGGGGTCTTTGGGTTAGGAGAGAGACTGGAGGGGGGTGGTGAGGAAGGCTCAGGTGGAGGGGCTGGTATTAGGTCTCCTACAGGGACTTCTGAGGAGGCAGAGGACACAGTGAACGATGACTCAGTCACAGAGGCTGTGGAAGCCATGGAGGACACAGAGGGAGTATCATCTTCCAGGTCCTCCGGGAACAGCAGCCGATTGACCTCAGCAGCTGCGCTATTACACACCTCACAGAAGGGGTCTGGACATAACAGTTGACGAAAACGGATGGTATCATGTTGCTGGCCCAGGGGGCTGTGGGAGACAGGAGGTACAAAGCTGCAGCCAGGACCAAAACTAGGAAAGGAGGACCTGCTGGTCTGGCAGGGGAGGGGCCACCTGAAGCCTGCTGCCCCTTCACATTGCCTCACATCCATGACTTCACAATACACTCAACAGCCCTCACCCCAAGGCCTTCATTCACATCCCCATTCCTATGGCAACCCCCTTCCATGACACAGGCTGCACTGAATCCCTGGAACTGCATAGAACATGCTAAAGAGGGATTAGGAAAGAAGGGGAAAAACTAGTCACCTTTTCAGAATAGAAATCAGCTTCCTTTTCTCCTCTGCTTCTCTCTGGTAATATCTCCAACCTGGGAAACCAGGAGAGTGGGTTATATATAATGAAGGTAGAAGCATAGGTATTATACAGGAGTCCCTTTATGGGAGACCTTGGGGGTATTAGACTCTGAAAGCCCCAAGAATCAGTAGATGAGGTCAAATGGTCAATGATAATATTAACAAGGTTCACATGTGTATGTTGCTTCATTTATAAAGTACTTTCACATACATCATCTCCTGTGATGCTCAAAACCACCATGTGAAGCACAGAGGTCAATGGTGACCTCAAAGAGAAATCGGATCATCCAGGAAGTCAAAGTACTTTTACAAAGTCAGGAGACAGAAGTTCTGACTCTCGACATCTCACAAGGCTACCTATTGGGCAACACCCATTGTCCAGGTCCATCGCTGCTTCATGCCCAGGGGTGGGCAGAGTAGAGAATCTGAGAAGTGTCTCAGGTTCTGACTGCCTTCCCAGGAGCCTCTCCCCTGAGGGCTCTGTTTTCTGAGAGGGACTGTATCTAGCAACTGACATCCTCAGAGATCGTGGACCTGGGACCTCATGGAAAGGACAGGAAGAGTCACCCTTGGAGAGCTCAGGTGGAATAGGCAGAACCTTACCGCTCAGTGTTCCCCCTTTCCTTCTCCTCTTGGCTCTGCCCTGACGCTGAGGACAAAAAGAAAAGAATGAGGGACTGGGACTCATTTCTCTCCCTCCTCCCTCTAGGAAACGCAGACATCCATTATCCAAGAATAATATGACTCTCTATTTTAATTACTAGAACTTTGTGTTCCTTCCTTTTATTAATTTTCAAAGATGATAAAATATTTTCAATTTTTCCTTCTTTAAAAAACTAGAAGAAAGATTTTTTCTATGAGGTCCACACTTGATATTCTCAATCAGAAGTCCTCTGCTCAAGGCGGGCATAGAATGCGAGGTGAACAGTCACGTCCGTGCTTCCTCACATAGGACCCTGTATCCTGGGACAGAGCTCGGGCTCCAGCCTCTGCTCAGAGCTTTCAGAGGCTCTCCCCTGCTCTCCTGATCTGCTAACATGAAGGAAGCCTTGGTCAAGGGACACCTGACAGGGGAATGTGACTCCTGATCAAGTGCTGGGAACTCTGTTCTCCTGCAGAGATCCCAAACTCTCTAACTAACCCAGTCCAGGACTACAGAATCACTGAGTTTGGGATTTTATCCCGGAATCCTCCACCGTACCCAGGTGGTCTGTGAGCTTCAAATGGAAACAGTCCCAGCTGAACCCGTGGCGCTGCCCAGCCCATTCCCCTAGAAGGATGATGTTCTATCCTCTACTCAGACTTCCCATCTTGGGTGTCTCTCTGAGCCAACCAAACTCATTTTAAAATGTGGGACTAGAAATGGAAGCAACAATAAGGAGTCTCTGTTGGGGGCTTGCCCAGGGATCCTTACCTTTTGGAACACTTTGGTTTCCCAGCAGGTTGGTGAAGATGGAATCCCCACCAGGAAGAACAGGAACAGAAGGAGCAACCACAACCCACATATGATGGTGAGGTTGGAGTCAGTATCTAAGAATGTTGAGCAGAGGCTCAGACACAACTCAATAGGGCTATTCAGAAATGAGAGAACATTCCATTGACTGAACTCCATTGTCTGAATCGCAAGGCTGCCTGAGGCAACTGAGCTCTGAGAGTGCAGGAGCTGGACTATAGTCCCACACCTGCATCACAGAGCATTGAAGAGTCACAAAGGGTTTCAGAGGGTGGGGGAGGGGACAGCATGAAGAGGTGTGCCCACAACCCCTCCCCCACCAGCCCAGCAGATCTCTCCACTCCTCCTGGGCCCTCTAGGTCCCTCTGCCCTACCTGTCATCCTAGTTTCCAACTCTACCCTTTCATCATATCATATATTTACCTTATTGAAAATTTATGCATTTTTTATTTGTAACCCAGATATTACCTGGGTCCCCCTTTACTGTTTGGAGAACTGGACTTGGGTCTCACCAATTCTACTGCCTTGAAAGTCTGAAATGCTGCCTCAAATTTAGGCTTGTACCCAGACATTTACATTCAGGATCATATATGTCCTCAAATCCATCTTTCCCATAGAATGTTTTTGCCTTACACGGACACAGATATATATAAAGTTCTTCTACACTTATTTAGTTTTAATTTTATTTATTTATTTATTTTTCCCCCAAAGCCCCAGTAGATAGTTGTATGTCATAGCTGCACATCCTTCTAGTTGCTGTATGTGGGATG